CAAGATGTAATCTTTGGGTTGATTTTACGTACTGTTTGATAATCTTGTACTTGAGAGCTAAAGATACTGGTTATAATAAAAAATTGGATCTGTTTTCTTATAAGTTGATCTGGGCATTATCCTTTTGTGTCTGCTTTTAGCTGTAAATTTATAATGTATCATTTGTTACGAAATTACTTTTGGAATTGTTGCGGTGAAATGCGTCATTTTATTTGGGAAAGTGTTTCTAATGAAGGTTTACAGACTGCATTAATGATGTTTCAGTATGCAGAAGTTCTTTTGGGTGGGTCTGTATTTGCCATAGCTATTTGTTGAAACACCTGCAAATTACGAGTATCTTCACCTTATCCGATTGTGTGTTTCATTGATTGGCTGCCGAGGGTCATCATCATCTTGCCTTTGTTGTGATTTTGTTTTGTGTATTTAGCATTTGCAATTGTTAACTTGAAAATCTTGCAGAATGAAGTTAAGGTGGAACATGATTTGTTGATGGGCGTGAGGCATTGGATCCCAATTTAAAGAACTCCAAAATGCGTGAGGCACAAAATCACCTTGAATGGATTAGTATCAGGTGGGGGACCGCCTGAGAAGCTCCATCAAGTGAGCCTCTATCACGCTCGCTATTCATTGAGGTTTGGGGTTGTTTGTATATATTTTTTTTTTCATACCTTTGTTCGAAAGGCAAAGGCAGCAATTTGTTTTGTCTAGTACTATTGATGCTATTCATTCTTCCCTTCTTTAAAGTACAATTGTCCTATTTTACAGAGACCTTTTGCATGCCCAGTGAATGACTGCAACTCTAGCTACAGAAGGAAGGACCACCTATCGAGACATATGCTTCACCATGAGGGAAAACTCTTTGAATGTCCAATTGAGGACTGCAAGCACCGATTTGCATATCAGGGTAATATGACGCGGCATGTGAAAGAGTTCCATGAAGAACCTGTTTCTGATGATGATGAGAGTCTTGAGGCCCCAAAGGAACACATCTGTCAAGAACACGGGTGTGGAAAGGTCTTCAAGTATCGATCCCAATTGCTTAAACACGAGAGTTCTCATGGTGAGTTACTTGTTTCATATTCAAGCTGGTGTTATTTTTAGGTTTGATGAATTATATATTTTTAGTTTTATACTACTCTCTTTTGATGAAAATTTATGCCGAATGCAGTTAAGTTAGACTCGGTGGAAGCACTATGTGGAGAGCCCGGATGTATGAAATATTTCACAAATGTGAAGTGCCTCAAGGAGCATATTAGGTCCTGTCATCAGTATGTGACATGCGATAAATGTGGTCAAAAGCAGCTTAAAAAGAACATTAAACGTCACATGCGAATGCATGAGTCAGTGAATACCTCTGAGAGAATCAAGTGTAGCTTCGAGGGATGCTTGCTAACGTTTTCAAATGTAATACTGTCATCCAGACTGCCATTTTGCTTTTTTTTTTCATGTTTTTGCGCAAGGATTAATTATTTGGTGTTGGCTGTATAGGAGATGGTTTCTTAAATTTTTTTTTCTCCTACTTTTGGATGCAGAATTCGAATCTCAAGATGCATATCAATGCTGTTCATTTGGAAATAAAACCATTTGCCTGCGGCATACCTGGCTGTCACATGAAATTTGCATTTAAGCATGTTCGGGACAATCATGAAAAATCTGGGTGTCACGTCTACACTCCGGTAAGCATTTCACAGTTCTTGGAGAACTTTTCCAGAAAGATGTTATGTAGTGGTGTGTGCTTAACATTTTTCGGATTGTGCCCGATTTTGGTTATTCAGGGAGATTTTGAAGAATCTGATGCTCAATTTCGGTCAATGCCGAGAGGTGGCCGGAAAAGGAAGTTACCTGTTATTGAGACGCTGCTGAGGAAAAGGGTTGTCCCGCCTAGTGAATCCGAGCTTGGTATGACCTCCTCCAGTGATGAAGAACAGGATATTGTGAGTTCTATTCACTGCTGAATTTGGGAAAACATTATAAGTCAAACTGTTGATTTGGTTTGTAATGTAGTGTAAAAAGGATCAGTTTTGGAGAAATGAATGTGGAAAACATGTATGTAAAACTAGTTTATTAGTTGGTATGTTGCTAGTTTTAAAGCGAATTGGTTTTGTGTTTTTCAGGAAACAAACGGGAAATGTTGCGATTATTATTTCACTTGTGATTAATTTATATTCTTGTTTATTGTATTTGTATGTGTTACGTTATGGTTAATCCGGCTTATTATTTATATAAATAGTATGTTTTGAAATGTTATATTTTAAAAACTAATATAAATAAAATTGGGATATTTGATAATTGATAGTTATATATGTATAGTCCCGCTCACCTGCCCACCGGATATTTTATATATGTATGTATTTTTGTTTACGACCACTTATTCTAATTATTTACGATGTTTTATTGTTGTTAAGGCAAGTATCGCCAGAAAATGGTTAGGCTCAATAAAATGAAACCTCTTCACTTCAAGTGCAGAAAATGATTGGGCTCACCAATGAGTGCATGCCACCTATACGGTGGGCATATTAACATGTGTCCACCGTGGGTAGGGGAACATTTCTCTTACTAAATAAATTGAACTGAGTTTGTTTGTGAATGCATGCCACCTATACGGTGGGCATATTAACATGTGTCCACCGTGGGTAGGGGAACATTTCTCTTACTAAATAAATGGAACTGAGTTTGTTTGTGAACTGAAAATTTGATATTAGCGAACAATTCGTTTAGAACAGTAAATTTATTGAACGAGTCGAGCTTATCATTCGCAAACTTGGATATGAGTCAAGCCTTTTGTTCATTTATTAAATGGATCGAGCAGAGTCAGACTCATTTTTAAACGAACGCCATCTTGAGAATGAGTTACTCGGTTGGGCTCCGCTTGAAATACTTATAAATTTTGCAGAATGTGTTAAATTTTAGTTGTTGATCCAACTTTCAATTAGAAAAATAATTTAACAAACCAATCATTGGTATGGCAACGAGAAATATTAAATGAGTTGAAACTTACACACTCGTTATGTAAGAAAATATATAACTATTTAGTCCTAATTATAGGAAAATGAAAGACAGAATGAAACAAAATTATTTAAAAATATCAAGGAAATAAATAGCTCGCTAAAGTTGCCGCTATTTGAGAAATAATTTTTTTGGCAGCGTGTCGCTATTTGTATTCATGTGCAATTTAGCCGCTAAATCTCCACTATAGCTCCGCTATAATTACAGTGTCATAAACGTTTTAGCTCGTTATTTAAAACCTTGAAAAATATGTGAGGAATAAAACAAATTGTGTATCCATATTATACTAACAATGGAGATTGTTATCATATATCTTTCTTTGGTAAAACAATAAAATGTGGTTTATATATATGTTCACTCATGTCAATATCCCATACAGCCTGTCTTCATAAATGATCCATAAATGCCATAGCACAGACAAAAAATAAAGATTAAAAAAAAAAATGAAGGGTAGAATAGTAATTTAAGGTCCTTCTGTTGTAGATTGCTACTGCTCAGAGGTATTGTCACTCTTGCAGTTAATTTTCAGATGAATGCATTTTTTTTTTTTTAGGCACAACTATACTTTACGTGGTTTCATCAGATAAACCTCAATACTTGTTGAAGTTTGTGAATAAGAAACATCGACCACTTTGAACATAGAAGAAATGTTGCGGTGTTGTTACGGAACTATTCCGTGAAGTTTGTAACCGTTAAATCAATTATTTCCAACGGTTACATGATGATCTAGCATTACAAATCTCGCTAGAATGATTTCATAACGAGACTGTAGCATCTACCTTCACTGTCGTCCTACATAAATCGAGTTAACCTGTATTGTCTTGTAATTTTAAAATTTAGAGAAATTTTTGGTGTAAATTTAATAGGAGTATATGTTGACTTTTCAATCAAAGTTGTATTCAGATGAGTTGAGCAAGACCGCTATCTATTAATTCTAATTATTTTACCTTTGATATTTCCCCATGTTACAAGATTAATGCTTCCAATTGATATACTTCCCATTAAGTCACATGATTGGAAGATAATTTTATTTAATTTCATCTAAAGTTAGACTTGTTTTACTATAAATTATATGTTGTTGGTCCTGATTAAGTGTTTTCTACTATTATACATCGTGTTTTAAATATATTTACGTACTAGCTAATGTTTTAAATATTGTACTGACAATTATACCGGATAAAATATCGATACGAACAGGTATTATCATCTATTTTATATTTTTTAATTATTATTTGAAAATAGTTTTTCATTAATATTTGAAAAGTTTTTTTTGGGTTGGGGGTTGTTAATGAATCAAACGTTCGCGAACAAAAGCTCGTTCGAGATCGTTCGTTCGTTAATAGAGCCGAATTTAAATAGAAAATTAAGTTCGTTTAATAGTCAAACGAACACGAGCTCGTCAGCGAACGTTCACGATTATTAATGTAATATAATTTTATTTTTTATATGCATACTATTTTTTAATAAAAAATCTAAAAAGAAAGGAAAATGTATTTTATTTTTGAGTTCGAACGAACAAATTTTAATCTAATCAAATATATTTAGAAAGTTTATGTCCTAAACTATTGGAACACGAACACGAACTCAAACTTTTACGAACAATTAATCAAATGAGTTGGAACACGGTTTTTTGCTCGAAAAATAAAAACGAACATGAATACTATTCGAACTTAAACGAACACGAGTTTGAACAACTCAAACTCTGCTCGTCCGGTTCGATTACAACACTAACGTAACGTAGAGTACTCAATTGTGTAACGACATAGAAATTAAAAGTGGAAGCGACAATTTAAACAGATTAGTCTTCGGGGAACATCTCACTACTCCTCAAAGCTATTTCATTAGTAGATAGATTACACGAACGATGTACAATTTGGGATTACAAGTTAACGCTCCAAAACCTACCAATATTATAAGAGAAACTACTAACTAATTATCTGATCAATGGACTAAAACAACTATATAGAAACATTCCAAATTGATGCCGATACTTAATCCCTAAATTTCCAAGAATTACTTAGATAAAACGTTTCAGCTTTAGAGATGCAGAAAGGCAGACATAATTACTGAATAATTAACATACACAAATATAAAAGGAAGCCAACAAACTCTCAGAGAATATCGTGAACGTTAAACTCAACAATAATCGTTATTGCAGCCACTGTTCTAGATCTTTGAGTTTTCGTGATGACATATATACAACATCCAATTAGGTAAAACGCCTTCATACCTTCAACGTCCTTCCATATGGAATCAATTTGTATCCAAGTTAATTAGATCCTCTCTTATGTTTGGCGGAGATATTCAAATTCTTCATTCTTTAATTATTCAAGAACAATTTTTTTTCCAGTTTTATTAATCCTTCAAATCTTGGTCAAGATCTTCATCAAGATCCTCTCGACTTGATTTCAATTCAGATGTTCATGCATGATAGAGAATATAAGTAAGATATATATTGTCTACTCCCGCAGAATGCATTGAGTATAATTAATATTTTTTCTATAATATATCAAATTATTTTTCTTTTAACGATCTTCAATTTGACATCTGTATTATATATTTAATAAAAAAATGATATATCTTTAAGAAGAAACTCCATATTTTTAAATGAAAAAACATATATTTATAATATATTTTTAGATATCATATTATATAGATATTATTTTGTAAAAAAAAAGAAATATTTAAGTGTAAAATATATATATATATATATATACATATTAAAAAAAAAAAGAAAAAGATAAGTGTCAGCAAAATTTCCAATCAAATTTTGTCTGCTAACAAATCTTTATGAGTTAAGAAATTTAAATTAAATGCATAAAATTATAATATAAATATTTTCCTTCAAAAAATTTAGAGGATAGAATTGGGACCACCATATGGCCAACACAAACAATTTGATATAATATTCTTTTAATTGCAGGCAAAACTTGAAGCAACCTTTTTCTGTAAGTTGGTCCATTATCCCAATTATATCCTATGATGCGGCACAATGCGTCACGAAATTCAATGGTTGATATTTGAACACATTTTTATTTATAAAGTTCTGCACATTTATTAGTTTATGTTTTAGAAAATGTGTCACAAATCGAGAAAGATTTTACCTATTTGCATCTGCTTCGTTTTCTCAATTTATCATATCAAAGTGTATTTGATTTACTTTTCTTGTTTGGACTGATGCTTAAGCTCGAGATCGACCAGCCAAGCTCGTGAAGGCTCGACCAAGACTTAATAATGTTATATAAATGTTCAAGATCGGACCAGCTCTTGATCGGCTTGAACTTGATGGATTTGCTCGTTTTTGGATCTGATTTTTAACTTGGGTTCCATGTTCTTAAGTAATTACATATTTATTTTCAAGTTCGAGGTACTTCATTTGCTGAGACAATTTTTAGCTCGAGTCGAGCTTGACTTGAATTGCTCAACTTGTTTACAACCTATTCATGAAGTCGTACTCCTTTATTTTACCATGTGAATGAATGAAACATGTTTTCTTAAATTTTTATGAAAATAAGAAATGACGAGCCTTCGAGTCAAAGCTCGACTTCAGTTCGAGTGTGACCGAACTTGAATCGAGCTCATATTTTGCATTGTCTAGCGGTTCGTCAAGCGGTTCGAAATATATGTTAAATTACTAAATACCTCATATTTATATTACAATAGTATAACTGAAGTGCTTTAATGGTAATTTTACTTTCTACTTAACATTTTCGAGCGAAGTTCGAGCATTTTGATTTCGAGTCAAGCTCGAGCCGAGCTCAAACTATTGTAATTTTTTATCGAGTCGAGCTCGAGCCTTATAAATCGTGTTCGATAAGCTTGAGCAGCTAAAAAAAAGTCAATCTGGATCGATAAAACCAATGTTCGATACGACTCAACTCGTTTGCAGCCTTGGATAACTTAAGTATGGATGGAGTTTTTTTTTCCCCTATTGTTACATTCTGAAACA